ATTCGGCAAGTGGAGGCCACCATTTTGGCAGATCGCCATATAACCATTTGCCAACTGGCCCAAGATGTCAAGATCAGTGTGAGGTCTGTGAAAAAAAATCATCTATGAACATTTGCACATGCGGGAGTTGTCTGCACAATGGATTCTCCGGGTGCTCATGCCTTTCCAGAAGCAATCACGAGTCACGTGCTCCCAGGCTCTTTTAGCCATGTGCCAAGAAAACCAGGAGGACTTCTTTGACAGAATAATTTCGCAGGACAAAACATGGGTCCATCACTATGATCCAGAGACTAAAGCCCAGTCAAAGCAATGCAAGAATTTTGACTCGCCGCCTCTGAAGACGGCACATGTCTAACCCTCAGCAGGCAAGGTCATGCTCACAGTCTTTTGGGACCAGAATGCAGAAGTGATGATGGATTTCCTGGCAAAGGGTACCACAAATACTGGGACATACTACGTTTCACTGCTGCAGAAATTGCGGAAGGCCATCAAAATGAAGAGACAAGTGTGTGACCCTTGGTGGAAGGAACCATCTACCCACCTATGCAGGAACTGAGCAAGACTCTTCACTGCCTAACAGAGGGTAATCCCACCAGGAGGTGTCGTCTGTTGACTTCATAGAGTTTGTTACCGGTGTTCACAATTTGTTACCGGTGGCTGGTTGAGGCATTTCCCCTTTTACATGTTGTCTGGGTAACCTTTTTTCCGGTCTGAGGAAAGAGAAGTGGCAGTTCCCTCTGCTCAGGCTCTGATTCGCTATGCCCACCGGGGCTGGAAAAGAGCTCATGCTTTCCTACCTCAGCATGTATCCGCCTTCCAGAGGCAAGGGAATTGTTGTCACCAGCCAGCTCCTGCCTACCAAATTGGTCAGATATTTTGGCTCACTGTGATGGATATCTCCCTCTGGCAGATTTCAAATAGCACGCTCCCCAGTTGATTGGTCCATTCACTATTTCATTCACCTGTCCTCATCTGCTGCTGGGCGCCTCCTTCCCCATTCCCTTCCTAATATTCACCTCGTGTTTCATGTCTCGGAAATTACACCTGTATCTTTGTCTCTCTACAGTCATCCCTCCTGCCCCCCTCCTCCCCCCAGGCTCAGTGATGGTGGCCCCATCTACACCGTGCACCAGATCCTGGGCATCTGGAACAGGGGACGCGGATGCAATTTATTGGTGGACTGGGAGGGGTACGGGCTGAGGTGCAGAACATCTTAAACCCCTCCCTGATTTGTAGTTTCCTGCGCTGGTATCTGGGGTCAAAAACTGGGCCGGCAGGAGGCGCCCATCGATGTGAATGTGAATGGCTTCTGTGTGTCCTCCCACTCAGCATTTGGTGTGTCTATGAGAGGTCATTAGTGATTAGTCTGTGTCTTGCATGTTCCCTGATTCACGGCTGTGTCTTGTTTCACAGTTACCCCACCTCGTGTGTGTGACGCATCTCTACCTCCTCCTTTTATTTGCAAGTTGCTGGATAGTATCATTTCCTATAGCGGTTTGGAACCAGTCAGTATTTACACCAAGTACTGTTTATCCTTTCAAAATTAAACGTAATCTTTCATGATAGTAATTGATGGCTGTTCTCTTCCTTGTCTAGTTTTTAGGAACATGCTCCTGAATCCAAGCCTTTTTCACCGTCTACAGGATTGGAACCATGTTGCTGTTAATTCTCTCCCAGTCTGTTCTCCTGTGCAGTTTATTAGGAACAAGCCCCCAATCCTTCTGCTGTCATCAGAATTGGAAAACGTGTTCCTCCTAAGCTTCCCCATCCTACCTTTTGACAGTTTAGCTTTGGCCAAGTGTGCACTCAACCAGGCAGTCATCCCAGAGAGCCACTGACCGAGCATTGGCTGCATCCTCACTGCTTCGCCTATGACATCTGTGCTATTCTCCTCTAGGCTCCCACTTTTCACCATATTACCATCAAGAAACTCTATTATTGTACTCTGTATTATTGTACTCTGCCTCTGCACTTGATTTCTGGTCTGAATCATGGCAGCACTGTCTGTGAATTTTACTAACAGACTGCACTGTCTGGACATTTTACTGACAGACCGTTAACTCTGGACGTTTTGCCTACAGACTGCATGGTCTGACTATTTTACCATCAGACTGCATTTTACATACAGACTGCATTGTGAGGACATTTTACATACAGACTGTACTGACTCCTGGCAATGCAGTCTGTATGCAAAATGTCCTCACAATGCATTTTACATACAGACTGCATTATCTCCGCATTATGTCCACATGCACGGTCTGTGCATTTTACCCACTGACTGCACTGACTGTCCATTTTACCTGCAGATTGCATTGTCTGTGCATTTTACCCATAAACTGCTCTGTCTGTGCATTTTACTTATGGGCTGCACTATCTGGGCTTTTTACCTACCGACTGCACTGTCTGTATTTTGCCTGCAGAAGTGGATTCTCTTGCATGTTACCAGTACGCAGCACTGACTGTGAATTTTACTCACCAACATTCTATGTGCTAATTGTCTGGCACTAAATTTGATATAAATCTTTGAAAGCGCATTTTGGCTTGACTGATTTATTAGGGACTATTAGCTGATTGCCTTTATAGCGTCTGTAAAATTCCCTGAAATCTTACTTTTATTAACAAAGCAATCTCTTAATGTTGTGGAACAGTAAGCATGCCCTCCACCCGCTCTTACACGGAGAAAAAAATTGCACGGGTCGGCATTTTCGAATATAGACTTAGAGCATAAAGCCATAGTTATCGCATCAAATTTAGGAAGTTCATCGTTTTTCACGAATACTGTCATTTTGCTGTCGGGTTCCACTGGCTGCCGGGGCAGAGGGAGGTCTGACCAGGCGTTATTATACTGAGATCAGTCAGGCAGGCGCAGAATGCTGTTACTGTCACTGCCAATCACAAATCCAGCCAGTAACATCCTTAGAAATGCCTTATCCTTTCACATTCCGCTGACAAAGCACAAGATTAGACCTGGGGAAAGGGGAATGTAAAATCCAGTGGGTGCAGTGGGGGGCTCTTTTAAACCTTTCTGGAGTTTAATTTGCCGTGAAAATGTGTCCATTTGATACGACTGCATGCTTCTGATGGAGAAGCTGTTAGAGACGGGAGGGTGGAGGAATGAGGGCAGGATTGTATGTGCTTTTCACCTGCTGGGTCAAGTGATGCGGGACTGGGCTGTATCCGCCACAGGGGCCGGGTGAATGGAATGCTCAGATCCGACTGATAAATGAGTTAGCAAACAGATCACTGACATCTGGTGGCCAAAGCCAGTACTACATGTTAGTAGTCAGCGTCAGTTTATTCATTTATGTATTTATTTTAAGCAGTTCTACCCGAGGGGTTATCCGAATTCACCTAGCAGTAATAATGAATGCGGCAATGCACTATGATGGGAATTAAGGTATCTTAAATGGAGGCAATCTGAAATGTTAAGCTGTAATTAGCGCAGTCAAACACTTCCTATAACTTTCACATCAGATTTTCTCATCGTTGTGGAAGAATTTTGGCCCTCTCCCTTTGCAGAATTACTTTCATTCAGCTACATTGGATGATTTTTGGATGAACTGCTTGTTCAAGATCCTGCTACAACATTGCCATGGGGATTAATTCAGCACTTTTATTTGACCACTGAAATCTTATTTTTGTTTCTTTATTGGCATTCAAAGGTAAACTGGCTCTTGCCCTTTGAATCATTGTCTTGCTGCATAACCCATCTGCGCTTGAGCTTCAGAAGTTGTATGGATTATTGGACATTCTCCGTTTTTTGGTGGAGACCACGTGTGAAGTTTCTGTCAATACTGGATCTTCACTTAGGCTCTGAAGCAAGGCAGCCATAGACTATCACACTACCACCACCATGTTTGACTGTCAGTGTGATGTTCTTATTGTAGAATGTTGTGTCAGCTTGTACGTCTGATGTAACCATGTCTTCTAAAAAGTACCACTTTTAACTCATCAATCCTCAGAATATTACCCCTAATGTCTCGGGGGTCACCTAGATGTTTTTTTGGCAAATGTGAGGCAGCATTATACTCCTGTTTGTTAGCAGTGGTTTCCACCTTTCAACTGTCCAATGGATCTAAATTTTGCTCAGTCTCTTTCTAATGGTGGATTCATGATTGCTGACTATGTCTGAGATCACTGAGACCTGCAGTAGGGCCGCAAGATCTGCAGATGTTCACCTGGGTTCTTTTGCAACATCTTTCCTTCAATATATTAAATGATTGCAGATCAGAAACAATTTAGTCTGACAAGTAAGCAAAATAGCAGTAATCAGAAAGGGGACAAATACGTTACTCACTGAACTGTGTGCATTTTATTTTGTTGCGTCAAACTTTTGTCCAATTTGCCATGTTGTTTGTTAATAAATAAATCACACTTTCCCCTACATCATGGAAAATATTGAGAAATTAATGCACAAACAGGTTAGCAGTAAATGCCAAAGGTCAAATTTTCCAATATCAGAAACTGAAAACTCTGCAAGGAGATTGGCTTATAGCTCCAATGGCAGTGAGGCTAGCACATCTGTGCTTGTCAAAAATTAACAATTCAATGTCATGTATGCTCTGACCAATTATCTTTATGGTACAAAATTTAGGAAACCCTGCCAAATGGCAACTCCAAAAAATTATATTTGTTGTTGTTGGGTATTGCAATTATTACATTATTGTTTTCTGATTACTCTACAGCCATGTTCTACTGTATTCAAGTGTTGCTTTCCAATGGAGCATTGAGGTTTGAATTCAATATTTTTATTTTTTATGTTTTTCACTCAGGAAAGACAAATACACCCTCTGCATTTAACCCATCCTTGTTACTTTGGAGCTGTGGGCAATCAGTTCAGCACCTGGGACCGACTCCTGTTCTAAAGCCAGAGTCTTGGTCAGTGGCAGTGGTAGGTGTGTTCCAACAGAGCTTGTCTTTCAGTATGTGGAAAACCAGAGTACCCTGATGAAACCCACACAAACACGGGGAGAACCTGCAAACATCATGCAGAGAGAACCTGGCAGGCCAGGACTCAAACCCAAAACCTCTGCATTGCGAAGCCACAGTGCAAACCACTGCACCACCATGCTCCCATAGGAGAGCGTGGGAGTACAAAACCAAGCATGTGTGTGTGTGTGTGTGTGTGTGTGTGTGTGTGTGTCCATTCGTGTGCGTGTTTGTGCATGTGTGTGTTTTAGCACCCTTACTCTATAGTGTTATTCTCCTCTGTGGTTTCCTCCTGACCCTACACTGAGCTGTGGAGCAGGTGTTAATAGAGCAGGAGCTGACGAAATCCCTAAAACCGCCTGCCTCCACCCACTTCCTGAAACAAGCCCCTCCTCAACTCCCCGGGCTGGTTGGCCCCGCCCACTTCCTGAGTCAGGGCTTGGCCGACGCGGCACAGCACGGCACATCAGGAGCGTTGTTGAGATCGGATCGGAGCAGAACCCTCACCATGTCCCGGCCCACAGCCTACCAGCACAAGCTGGCGGAGAAACTGACCATCCTCACCGAGCGGGGCGCGGGGGTGCTGCTCCGCATGAGCCACATCAAGAAGGTGAGCGACTGGCCGCGCTGTCGCCTGGGGCGACGCGGCCTTCCCTTTCACTATGAGCAGGGAATCGGGGTGACCAGCAGTAATTCTGAAGGAGCAGATAAACTGCTATCTCTGCACACTCCGGAGATAACGACACCAGCTTTGGGGTTCAGGCGACACTTGAGTTCCTCGTTTGGGGGGGTGGGTAGGGTCATGGGTGTTATAAACATAGTGTAGCAGAGGAAATTGATCAGGGTCTCTGTTCCTCATTGTAGTAAACAGATACTCCACAAGATACTGCTTGACACAGCAGACATATTCATATTAAAACTATCCGTCTCCTTTATTCCCTCTGCTCTGGTGAGACCTGACAGTGAAAATTCTGCTATTACACTGACTTACATGAAGAAATGTCTTCAAAATGTCCACTGAAGAGATATAACTTCAGTGCAAAGTAGGGTCTAATGCTGCATTTCAACAGGAGAAGAAATATCAGAAGAAATATCTGTTGTTCCATTCGGTCTAATATGCAGGAGAAACTACTTTGTTTCCTAATACCACAGCACAGACTGGGCCGTAAGATATTTTGCTGATAGCCGCAGGTGTGCATTTAGCGGCACTTGCACCGCTTTACACCTGACAGAAGTCAGGACTTATGAATGCTGGGAAGTGTGGCACTCAGCTGTTGCTTTTTTACATTATACAGCCACAGACAGTTTGTTGCCTCCTTCCTTAGCTCTCTTCTGAAAGGCCATGAATCAAAAAAGGAAGTTCACACAGGAAATGAGACAGAGTTTGCAAACACTGCACAAAGCTGAGAGACGCAGAGCCTGAAACAGCCCAGAGGCACACTCTGCCGTCCCCTCCGTAATATGAGGCTCTACACTCTTGCTCACGAGGCAACTGTGAAATGTTTGTGTATGATGCATGTGCGACAAAAAAAAAGAGTCAGTCTTAACTAGCATTTTACTCTTATATTTGGACTCAAGATCGTATTTCAATCTTTTTTTTAGCTATTAATGAGAGGTTACTGTCTCTACAGGTTCCAAAAAGTCCAATTGGGGATACCAACACATTTTCATCCCAACTTGTCATGAGTAGCGCTACCTGACCAAGCGCCGATATGCAACGGAAACGGAGGCTTTTGACATCCTTATTTAATGTTTAGTGTTAGGTTTTGGGTTAAGGGTTAGGGGTTAAGGGGTAAAGTTAGTTTTAAACAGGCGTCAAATAAGGAATCCAAAAGCCTCCTTTTGCGTCAAATATCAACGCTTGGTCAGGTAGCGTCACTATATGCTGCGTCGGGATTAGACTGGGCTCGAGAGACACAAACTGACTTGACAAGCCAAAAATTGCAAACCCAGCTAAAATTTCTGAGGTGAGATTAGAATAAGATTTTGAGTCTGATCACTAGAATAAAGCACTTGACAAGACTGACTTTTTCTGCAGCTTGTAAAATATGTCTGACTCTGACTTTGAAGACATGGAGATTTTTTTTTTTTGGTCAATTTCCCTTTTTTGAAAGAATTATATGGCTGATGTGGGCAAATCTGTACAGAGGGCAGGAAGTAATTATGCATGTCTTTGAGTCCAGCTGTTTTTAATACTGTGACAATAAATCTAAAACCGGCAAGTTTAAAATAGTTCATAAGATGAATGCTTGAACTTTTAAATGGCCATTGCACATATAAAACTGGAACTTTGTAAGATAGTCTTGACAACCAATAACAGGCCAAACTATTGAACTGCAATATGGCTACCAAATTTCTTAGATGCCCTGAAGTGCAGTTGAATATTTCATTCACAGATAAAGTACATTCTTTAATCACTAGACTTACAGAAGATGGTAACCAACACTCAAACATAATACACTCTAAATTCGATAGTGCATCGCATCACTTGCCTGTTCCTTCGCTGAAAATAACTGATACAGCAGAAAAGCACAAGTGTTGTTTCTCAATAGTGCAATGCACAAGGATATCAATGACGGCAAACAGAATTCAAAGAAAATCTAACTGAAAAATTGGACACAAAATTTTACACACATACATTTTAGACTCAGCTGTCAAAACACATTGAAAAATGAATATTTTGTAAGTGTTCACTCTTGTAATGGGTTTTTACTTATTAAATGTTCATTAGATCTCATGTATTCTGAAATCTGCCTTTAGGGATTGCGTGAGGAAATACTTTTTCTTTAAGCTTGGGTGCACCCTCTCCAGAAGGCGAAAGTGCCGGCGGCAGCAGCGATTGGAGATTGGTGATTGGAGTAAGCACTCGATTTAAAAGCCAAAATCTCCCAGGTCATGCACTGTTTATGCTGTTTTTACAATAAGGCAAAACCTTGAAACAGCTTGGACTCAAATTTGGAGCTCACCAATCCTTTGCCCACCTATGCCAAAGAAGGCGAACCGAGCGGCAGATTAAGTGTACCTGCAAATTTTTTAGCATGTGATTTTCAGCCAGAATAAAACCCCTTTTTTCAGGTTTGCACGGACCCCAAACTCCGACCTCAGTTTCTGACAGAGAAGGCCATGGAGTCAGCCATCAAGCACATCAACAAGAAGTTCCCGAATATCGACTTCAGAGGAAGCAGCGTGAGACCCTAATGTCGCTCAATTCTTCTGCTTTCCAGTAGCACAGTGTGATCTTTCCCTTATGTATGGTTAAGGAACACATCACCTGATTCTTCTCAATATAGACTAAGGGATGAGTAAAGCACAACAAATTACATAATACAACACAGAAAACACCTCCAGCATAAATTTACCTTTAAAATACGAGTCATGCGGATGGGTTAGAAGTAATATGATGGTATTCCAGCACTTGGTTTATAATTAATTATTTCTGCCATCAGTTATTTAAATCTGAATCTGTACCTGTCTAATTCTACACCTTTTAGATTTGTGATCATGTGACAAGTACTTAGTTCTAGCATGCAGAGATTTCATATCAGCTTCACTAAGGGGTCTGCTACACAATCATTCTTTATAGTTTGAATTTAATTTGAGCATGTGTGATTCATACAATACATGATAGTGATAACCCATATCAAATATAAAACGAATTTTACATACATATTTAAAAACCTGTGCTTTTGACAGGCTGACCTTCCATGCACTGATTTTTTTCCTGGCAGAATCACCTGACCAGCATCCAGAAGCAAAAGTCCGAGGTACTCGCTGCTCTGACCAGCTACTACCACTCCTTCCTGGATGTGATGGAGTTCAGAGTAAGAGAGCTGAGTTCATATAAATGCCCAAATTTCTTTTCAATGTAAAAATTACATTTTATTATCAGATACGGTGTACAATGAATGTGTAGCGCTTAAATTCGGGTGAAAAATAATTATTTTGTCATCGAGGACCCAAAATAGGTATGTCCCATAACAAATTTACACAGATTGTTGAGAGCATTAAAAAAATCATCGCTGTGAGAAAAACATATTTCGATAATGCCATAATCTCCAATTTTTGTTCTTAGTGCTGTATAAAAATGTGTCTCAGAAAAAAAATGGCACACTCACCTTTTAGAGCGTCACATAGTGCTGTTGCAGATTCAAGAAATTCATGCAAATGGCGGCCCCCACCACTGCTGTAAAGGGACACTACTCTCATAAGCACTTTTCCTGGATTCATTAACCTACAGTAGCTTAGTCACAGTAATGCATTCACTTAGGTTACAGAGGTTAAAATGTGCCACATCCCACAAATGGGACAGTGACCATTAATGGGTTAAAATAATAAGAGACTGAAGATACATGGTCTCTGGGCTGGGGGGTGGGGGTTTGGTTATTGTCCAGAGCAAAGTACCCTTTCACCTCTGAGATAACCAGAGATTTAGGAGCAGGTTATTGTGTATACTTTTGCACGATGTGGGCAGAATGATTTGGAAGCCAGGTTGGCTATGCTACAGTCTACAGACTCCCATTTCTTTCAGGGAGGTTCTATCAGATGTTTAAAAACAACAGTTAGTGAGGAAAATGGCACAACATTGCTTCTGAAAACCAAAGCCTTCTACTGCACACTGCCTCCATCCCTGTCCTGGGTGTTCATGACTTTATGAAGCCTAGAGCGTTATACTCCAACCCACGTAGTGCGCAAGCTGATGCCCGGTGATCTTCAGTCAGGTGACAGGAGCAGAACCTGTGGTTGTGTGTTAGCTTTAGCACATCCTGATGCTGAAATACTTCATTATATTATTCATTTCTATGAAACCCAATAGAAAATGCCTCCAGAAGGCTGAGATAACAGGACAGCAAATGTGAATACAATGACACCCCCCCCAATGTGTCTTTAATAAAATCCCTATCCATGGAAGAGCCTCAGGCTGTCAGAACAAAGCGGATATGACTGAGTGGGAGACTTGATAACACAGCCTTTTATTGTCTCTTCACAATGAATCCATGGCCCATAGACTGATCGGTACATTGAGAGTCAGGATTTGTACAGAGCAGTACAGACAGATCCTCTTTAGTAGCTCTCGCTCAAGCTTAGGCTATTGATTGAAATCCCATTTTAGGTTCAATAATGGATATTTCCATTTCATTCTTCT